ACTCCCCCTTTCCCTCTGAGATTCCTCAGTCTGTTCCAAGCTTCTTTGTCTCTGGATCTACTTTGTTCATCAGTTTATTCTGACCTGGAGGATATTGTGCTAAGCAAAATAAGCCAGTCAGAGAAGACAAGTATTACATGATTTCACTCAAATGTGGAATCTAATGCACAAATAACATGTTCTCATTAAGAAATGTTTAATAATGCAAATATGGAATATTTGACCTTCCCCCTCCCCCAAACTTTAAAAACCTTGGCAGTTACACACACACATTCACTCACTCATTCCATTGCCTCACAACCTGTTAATACTTTAGTCCTTAGTAGGCAATTAGATGACAGTTTCCCAAACCTGCCTGATCATAAGAATCACCTGAGATGCTTGTTAAAACAATATTCCCAGCCTGGCTGGGCATGACTCAGTGGTTCAGCATTGACCTAGGATCCAGGAGATTGCAGTTTGATTCCCAGTCAGGGCACATGCCTGGGTTGTGGGCTCAATCCCCAGTTGGGGGCGTGCAGGAGGCAACCAATCAATGATGAGATGTTTCTCTCTCTCTCTCCCTCCCTCTTCCTCTCTCTGAAATCAATAAAGATATATTTTTTTTAAAAAAACACAAAACAATATTCCCAGATCCTTTCCCTAGAGATTCTGATTTAGTATATCCAGGGTGCGGGCCTGTGAATTTAGATTTTTAATAAATGCCTGCTTAATTCTAAGGAACTGGTGAACATTGGCCAAGGGTAAAATCTTCAGCATCACCTGCCCCAACCTCTCCCTGTGCTATCTATGTCAGAATCCAAGTCTTATTGTTTCTGTAAACTTTCTTTTTTACCATCCAGCTGCCTTTCTTACAGGTTTTAATGGAGTTTCTTGTCAATGAGGGGACCAATATAACTACTGTCAGTGGGATATAGTAACATTCCTTGAGCAAACACTATATAAAAACTGTTAAAACTGAAAATAAATATTTCAATATGCCAAGAACTTCTCCACAGCTTTCCCCTGTGCCATAAAAGTTTCCAGCAAGTAAACAGACGTATCTCTCTTTTTTTTAAATATATTTTTTATTGATATCAGAGAGAGGAAGGGAGAAGGAGATTGAGGGATAGAAACATCAATGATGAAAGAGAGTCATTGATCGGCTTCCTCCTGCACAGCCCCTGCTGGGCATCGAACCCACAACCCGGGCATGTGCCCTGTCTGGGAATTGAACCACAATCTCCTGGATCATAGGTTGATGCTCAACTGCTGAGCCACGCTGGCTGGGCCAGATGTATCTCTTTTTGCCCAAAATGCCACCTTCCTGCCAAGGTATACAATTCAGAGATATGTTCTCAAATTGCCAACAATTAAATTGTGGGAAAGAAGTCTTGAAGAGAATGCAAGTGTTCTCCTAGCTCAGTGTCAGCTGGTTGCTCTGTTGAAACAAGGAGCTCCTTCCACGTGCTTGCTGACTATCCGCTGACCAAGTCTCCAGGCTAACTGCCCCATGGCAAGGCCTATATTTCACATAAAACAGAGTCAGACACAAACTCAGGATCGCAACAAAAATACTGAATCTTGTTTATCTGCTTCATAACTCTATGTCTCCGTGCTGCTGGCCAAATGCCTGTGTGCACTTTTCTGCCTCTGTGAAGCCCAAGAGAAAACAAATAACAAACCCCAATAACCACGAGATGACAAGCAGAGGCAGAATCCAACAAGATATCAGTGTTAAGTCACCTGAAACCTATATAATTTTATTAACTAATGTCACCCCAGTAAATTCCATTTTAAAAAGAAATTTAAACTCTTAAGAGAGGTATGCAGTCCTTTCAGCATTTTCTTAGCACACTCAGCAGCTATAAACTGGAAACGATCGCCAGGTGCTATGGATATCATCACAGTCCCTCGTGGAGATTCAGAAGGGACTGAATCTCCCTTCCTGGGCCTACTTTACCAATGGCACAAGCGGGATCCAATATTCAGACGCGACCTGTCCTGTTTTAACATCACCCTAACATCTTTGCCAGGAGTGTTGACAGTCGTCTGCTAGAGGTGACCGTCTACAAGGCTGATNCAACATCACCAACTATCCACACCCTAACATCTTTGCCAGGAGTGTTGACAGTCGTCTGCTAGAAGTGACCGTCTACAAGGCTGATGAAATCAGAACCCTCTAAGATGGAGAAGTNTAACATCACCCTAACATCTTTGCCAGGAGTGTTGACAGTCGTCTGCTAGAGGTGACCGTCTACAAGGCTGATGAAATCAGAACCCTCTAAGATGGAGAAGTGCAGAGCAGAGAGGCCCCTTGGATTTGGCAGCCACTATAAATTATGTAGCTAACCTTGCTAACAAGAGAAACTGAAAATTTATCAGCAAAATACCAGTTTCTCTATCAGCACATCCCCTATCAGCCCACACAATGCAACATTTCTTAATTTTATCCCGCCTTTGAAAACAAATTGAGAAAATACCCAATTTCCACAAATATGATGCTATAGCAAACACATACTAGTCTTCTCAAATTTTGCAGTAGAGTTACAGTTCCACTAGGGGGAGCAAGATGGTAATTTGTCACCTGGGAGACGGGTAAATGTTCAGGGTGTGTAATTAAGGAAAAGTAAGGTGGCAGGAGAATGCGCTTTATTTGAGACATTAAAAAACTCAGCTTCTAAGAGAGTTCTTAGTAATAAGAAAACATACACACTATTTACATACCAAAAAGAAAAAAAAAGAAAAAAAAACCCCAAAACTTTCCTATTGATCCCTGAGGGTCCAGGTTCTTAGGAAAATGTATTGTTNAAAAAAAAAAAACAGAAAAAAAAACCCCAAAACTTTCCTATTGATCCCTGAGGGTCCAGGTTCTTAGGAAAATGTATTGTTTTAAAGGATCATTTTCATCATTGCAAAACCCGATNGAAAAAAAAAGAAAAAAAAACCCCAAAACTTTCCTATTGATCCCTGAGGGTCCAGGTTCTTAGGAAAATGTATTGTTTTAAAGGATCATTTTCATCATTGCAAAACCCGATTCAATTATTCTTTCAATCCCACTTTTAAAAAGTGCACCCGACAGTTTAAGAGGAAAGCCCACCGTGGGTTCTATGAAGAGAGTGCCGCCTGTGGAGAGTATCCACTCCCACCTGCAATCAGGTCGTGAGTCCCTCCTCCAAAAGCCCCTAATGAAACCGCTGCTTTGATTTTTGCTAAAACTTTGTACGGTGCACTTCACCCTCCCTGTCAGAGCTGCATGTCCTTTACTAATCCATTGGCTTTGGAAGACAGGCAGAGTGATCGAGGCTGTCACTGAGCATCTGCAACTACGGTCAACGGTGAGAAGTCCAAGAAGATGCTCTCGCTGTGCGTCCCAAATTCCCGGTGTGTTGCTCATCTTTTTCTGATTTGATTGGGTAATTAAAGACTCCGAGTATCAAAGAAAACATCTTGCATTCTAATCGGGAGTGGGTGTTGGGAATCAATCAATAGCCAAGAGGGGAAAAATGATATTCCACAACATCTGCCCATCCTCGAGTCTTCTTAGTCCAGCATGTCATGAAAGCAAGCTGGGGACATGTTATTAGCAGCTAATAGCTG